TATTTTTGACGATAATAAACTGCTCGGCTGGAGAGATGGTTTTATTCGCCGCAAGATTGAATGGTCCGAAGCAACGAACTAATCAAAGTATAGTCGGGGCCACGATATAGCGAGGTCGTAAAATCGGTTAGGCGTCAAAGTAAACATGTTTTAGCTGCCGGGACCCCGAAATTGACAGAAATACGAGCAGATAAGTACTTGAAACCATGGTCAGGACCGTACAAAGAATTCTTGTATCCAGCGAAAGTCAAACTGATTCTAATATATTTACTGAAAACTGCATGCAGCTAGGACAAATTAGGGTTTCTCCCTCTGGGGGAAGCCGCTTTTGGAAGTACGGTTACAAGTAAAGGTCTTATTGAGGTCTTTAACATCTTCATTTACCTGCTCGTGTTATATACAGATAGAAAATGCAAAAGGATTGTGTAGCTTTAATATTAACATATTTTCCATTTGTAAATGAAATACCATTTTCTACTTGAAGTACCAAATCATATGCTACCATTCGTTTATTGTTGGAACCCTCAAACAGACTGCAACACACGGCCTTGAGTGCCGCAACATCAATCGGTGCCGATTCTTGAGAGTTTAATTTACGACCTCGCTATATCGTGGCCCCAACTATACCTTTCCTTTTTCTAAATTGAAAAATTCAACGGAAACTTATCAGGTGTGTTTTTAACAATGAAAATAAGCTGTTAGCTCGAAGAAATGTATTTGTATTATGCTTCGATGCTCCACTGAAACTGGAACGTTCCATTTTATTCGAAATTGGACGATTGTTACGTTCAACTGACAGACAAAATTTTCCATTTCGATCAATCTATCGAGTGGCAATTTTTTTACCGTTCAGTTTAATGATATTAAATTGAAAGAATATGTCGCTCTTATCTCCCGATAACCGGCTCCAATACAGTGAACCATTTAGATAATGGATACAATTGTTTATTTTAAACTTAGCACTCTAACCGGTACTTATCAACTACAAATTTTGATTAACGACAACCTTGAATGAAAATAGCAAGAACAACGTGTCATTTTTTTTCATATTAATGCGTCGAGCTTCAAATTTGTCTTTTGTAAAAATCCTATTGCTTCTTACTGAAAATGAATATTAACAAGAATTTTTCATAAATATCCTCGACGCACGATCGACGCGGCCGAGTTAATAAGATTAACAGACGATCGGGGCCGGCAATTTTTCTGATTTTAATAATATTGACTTTCCATTAGACGGTGGCACTATTTGGCAAAACAATTTCCGACACGTTCACACGTCAGAACTGAAAATACCGTATTTGCATTTGACGCGGAGCCACAAAATTATACCTAATGCGACAGTTGACGTTTCTGTCAATTCGCAAATTTCCAGTTAAAAAGCTGCGATACGCGGGAAATTAAACACAAACGCGTGTAACAAATTGATTCTCACGGTTAATAGTATCCCAACGCGATTTTTTCTTCGCTTCCGATTTCTCTTCCCGCCGATGTTTCATTGTTACACGAATGAAAATCAAATATTAGTCGGAAATGATCAGATATTTCGCAGAAAAATACCATACGGCGGTTTTCAGAGAACGAGCAACAAGAACCGCTGAAAATTCTCAACGGCGAAATACATATCGGTGAGAGTCTATTTTTATCAACGTCACGAGTACCTTACGTAAAAGCAATCAACGACGATGATACAATGCAATCCCGGAGAATTTCTTTTTTTCATCGATTCAACGGCCGCCTTATCGTTCTGAAATTCTCTCCACCCTTTCCACATGCCGAGCAATCGATAAATTACGACAGTTGGGACGATTTCGTTATCGTTAGAAACCGAAGGAAGCAACACGATCCGGGAAGTGGCGATCGCGTGGTGTCTCGCATGGAAACATAGAAACGACGTTAACCAATAAAACAATATCTGTTCCGTCGTTAAACGTCGTTCCGTCAAATTGAAACATCCGTCGCGCGGCTGTAATACTGTTTACGAGGCCATTTGATTGCACGCAATCGATCGTAAAAGGAACTACGCTTCCTCCAAGCATTCCCTCTGTCGCTAAAGGTTCGAAAGGCAAAAAGCAATTGATTTGGCGAAAAATGAGGAGGGGAAATAACGCGCGATTCCGCGCGCCTCGATGAAAAATACAAGGCGGAAAACGTGGAATAAAGTTGAAGGCAAGGAGAAACCAAGCGCCAGTCTTGGATGACACGATGAAGAGAAAAGAGAGGAGAGACAGGCATGAGTCCTTTGTGTTCGTGCAAGTGGACGATTCGTTGACCCGCGGCTGCAATTCCTCCGAGCTTTTATGTCAGCTCAATTGGCCGGCAAAAGTTGTCGACGCACCAAGAAATAGCCGTGCTCTTCTTCTTACCGTGTACGTCCTCCGCTATCTTCCCTTCCCTTTTCTCTCCCCGCCCCCTATTTCATACGTAATATCGATAAAACTGCGCGCGTTCGCCAGGACAATTCGTAGTTTCTGCACGGTCACGATACCTCGTAATGGACAACGGGGTAAAACACGCGTTTCCATCGTTCCGACGCGTGTTCTACATTATTCCTCGATCAACATCGGGTATACGGGGTGGGCCAGGTAAAACGGATCGCCTAATTGTCTGATCTGGCTACGTGGTGGTACGAGAGAAATTTGTGTATGTGATTTAACACTTTTTGTGTGACTGTAGTATGCACCGGCGGTACACGATAGTTTTCAAAAATGGAAGTTTCTCAATGCTCTCGTGCGAAATATGTGCAAAGGTTGGGTTAGAGTGTCAAGTATTCAACGCATATTGATATTTTTCTGTAATTAAGTATTTTAATGTGATTTTTTAACTTTGTTTGTTCCACGGTATGTGTTAAATGGTTTCAAAGTGTGAATAAGATGGAAGAATAGCTTTTTTACTTTTTTTTTTTAGGTTATCTGTGGTTTTTTACAAGAATGTGTGTATTTTTTTTGTAATGTGTGTTGCAGCAGATGTTTATGTGCATTTAAATGTGCATAATATGATCTTGAAATGATTTAAAATTTTTATCAAATGTGAAACTTCCCCTTTTTTTTGCAATTTCTTCCATTAAACAAGTTTTTCTTCAAGATTTTCATCAAAATTTTCTGGTACCACCATAGCTAGAGAAGATTGCCTGTTTTACACGGTCCACCCTATATACATATATCTTGAGCTCAAAGGAACTATGTACATATAATTTTTGAGAATAAGGAAAATATGTACTGATTAATACTGAATGGAAGATAAGACGTGTGGTCTGTTTTACGTGATCCACCCAGTATATATATCTCGAATTTAAAACAGTCATATATACATATAATTTTCGAGAAGAGAGAAGAGCCTGTTTTACGTAGTCCATCCTATATACATATACCTGTGTATGACGAATTAATATACGGATCGGCGTTGACAACGTTGTAATCAGATATAATTGCCAGGAATTTCCCCGGAATTTCGTTCTATCCGGGTCTCCGTCGATTTTTACGCGAGAACATGTGTCGATCGTGGCAAGAGGAAAACTCGATTAGCGGAAGGGGGAATCGATCTGTGACCCACAAAACCTGCTATTCAATAAGTGGTTACAACCTATGGTTATTATTCGATAAGTTTTTATTCGTCGAGGTTTCCTGGAACACGGCGAATCTCGAACAATGGAATGTTCATTTTTTCCCCCTCCCCGCCGCCCCCCGCCATTTTGATTTATCGTGCGCTCGTCGAGGGATTTTCACCGTGGAAAATGTGTATCAATCGGTTGGTACAAAGGGGAAATCAGACTATCGAACGTGGAAATTGAACTACGATTGATTAATTGATAAAGGAAACGCTAATTGAATACCGAAGAAAGGTTAGGTTTCTGTTTTCTTTTTGTTCCACTGGTAATAGAAAAAAAGAGCAAACCTTGAGAGACGGTGATTCAAGGAATTAGTAATTCCTGCGCAGCTCGCCGGCAGTGAATAAGCGTTCAACGGACAAAACCTCAACGAGAGCAGACAGAATAAAAACAGGCAACGTGAGTCACCCGTGTGTCAACGTTCTTGGTGCCCCTAGCTCCCGATGTTTCTTGCTTTATATTTATTAGGTATTCAAAGAGAGCACACACCACTGAAGAGCGTTCGAAAACCATAAGCCCGTATATATAAACGATAATTCGTACCTCGGTTCGTTCAAGGACAGAGACGAGGTGCACAGCAGACTGGTATACATTCTGCTGCGCACACAAGCGACAATCTCCTGTATACAGTAAGCCGCGTTTCCACGAAGAAGCACACGGTACAGATATTCTCACAGATCGATCGCGGAAATTCGACTGAAGATCGCACGTGCGAAAAGCACGTGCGAGCTTTTCCCCACCGATAAACAACGTCAATCGAGATAGCAAGGTGTATCCGGCGCAAACAATGGAACGGAGAAATCGAGCATGCCTGTCGATATTCTTCCCAAAGTGGTTTATCGTGTGCGAAGATCGCGGAATTCAATTTAAAAATAACACCTGAATCGCCCCCTCTCCACTCCTGGAAAATGAGAGGATGCAAAAAAAGAGTACGAGGGGAAAAAAACTGGGAGGAGAAACAGTACGAAGCAAGTAGCAGAGCGTGAGATGTCAATAAACGTGTATACATATACGCGTCGTACAGGTGTGCACGTCTGTCGAAAGAAATTATCGAAAGAAGAGCACACAGTCGAGGGTAATAAGAGAATGTTAGCACGGATGGAAAATAAGAGAAAATCGTGGGAAGCTCGTGTTCTACTCGATCACACTGAAACGATATCACCGAACGAATTCGCCACTTCACTGACAATCACGAAAACATCTCGAACGAGAGAGCGAAGGACAGAGAGCGCGCGAATCGCCGAGGTCATGGTGGCCCGCTCACGTTACTTCGTATCGTCGCGATTAACATTGTTGCCGGAAAGTTGGTCGAAGTTTGGCGGGGACTTGGAAATTCTGGCCGATGCACAAACTCGTTCGTAACGAGTTCGCTGAAACTCTGTGAAGCACGACGTACCTCTCTCTGGTGTACCTAGAGATCTCTGTCGTCTAACGGGGCCCGATCCACCGTAGGGATTTCTTCTCTCTCTCTGCCTTTCGTTCCAAACTCTGCTATGCCTCGACGTGGTAAGTCGAGTGTAGGCCAGCCTTGCCGAGCACGGAAATAGAAAGCACGTATCCGATGTCAGCGTCGACGTTGTGAATCTTTGAACCGTTCCATGAAGCTTTTCCCGCCCGAAACGATCGCCGTTGAGCGATTCATATGGTATAATACGGACACGAGAAACGCAGCTTGCGTGTCGACTGAGTCCGCCCGCGATACTAACTCGTGCCTAGCCACTTTTGCACGCTGGAGAACGTACTCTTGTACCGGTTAACGATACTCCGTGCGGTCACCCCTCCTTTTCTGCTTCGGCTGTCCGCCGTATTCGTTGTCGCGTACCACTAGCGTGGTCCTTGTTCCTCCGTTCCGTTCCTACGTTCTAACCTCGTCTTCCTTTCCTTACGGTCCGTGCATCACTCTTCCAGTTCTTGAACGAATGGCTTTAGCAATACGTGATTTGTCTTGAGAGAGATTCGAGCTCGTGATGCATTTCAGTCACGTTTTCTCTGTATGGATGTTAAGAATAGCAGATTTAGGGAATTTTTGATGAATTCATATGGGTGGGATTGAAGTTCGAGACAAGGTTAGGTTACGCAATTGTTGATTCGTAGAATTTGGAGATAATAATCGGTGGACAATTATCGTGCGCGTGTGTACGTGTCTTTTTAGTTTATCTTGATAAAGGTGTTTATGAGAATAGTCATCGCTTGAAGTTCTTTCGCATTACTGTAGATAAAATACAGCAAAACCGTTTAATAAATGATTCGCGGATATTGTCGAGAGATCTTACGAATTATATTTTCAAGAAGTAAGGTCGGTTCTTTGGTTTGAAATTATTTATAAAACAACGACAACGAGCGTGCAAGTAAGGTGGAAACAATTTCCCCCGTGCAGAGGGAATAAACAGTACACATAACTGTCTTCGCATGAAATACTTTCACTCATATTAGTATATCGTGTAATGAAGGTTGCATAGCTGCAGGCGCTGCTACACGCCACGAACTGCCGTAGATTATATCTAGAAAGAGAAACACATTCGCGGTGCGCAAATTGATATAAACTTGTCTCGCTGCATATTTCAAGGCGGTGAAAAAATCTATTTTGCAAAAGAAACCAAACGAAACTGTAATTTCCTCTTTCGAATCACCTGTTATTCTAATCCGTGATAATTTTCTTTTTCTTTTTCAGCCACCTGTTAATTAATAGAGCACCGCATTTCGTATTGTTGAATCCACTTTCGCGTAATTCATACATTCGAACCGTGAAATAATGCATTAAAGGGAAGTTCCGCCACTCCGTTGAAAGAGGAGTGGCCGGAGTTATCTCGTAAAAATAACTCGTTAAAAATTCCGCTTTGTTCGGGACACGGTCTATTTTAATTACACAACCGTTGGCCGAAGAAACTTTTCAGAAATCGGCCGCAATGATGACGCGCGAGTGCACTTAAGCCAGTCCCACTGTGAAATAGTCATGACCACGAAACAGAGATATCGGGGCAATTTATAGATACCGAGGACGCAAATAATGACTGGCCTACGTAATCCGCGTCTCTACTCTTCATTTTCGAGAGGCGACGGAACAAGCTCAGCGCTTTCGACCAATGAAAAAGGTGCTCCACCGACGGGGGGATTCCTGCATCTTGCATTTCGTAAGATCCGTAGAAATTAATGATGTCTTCCACGGCTCTTGAGATCTTCACGGTTTTCATTCCCCTTTGATCCAACTGCATTGAATTAATTCCAGAGAGATCCAGGTGCCGTTGTCCTCGCCGCCATTGTGTTTATCATTGCAGTTGCAGTTGTGAAATTTGTCGATCAGTCAAATGCGGCCATTGTGTACCTGGGGGATTTTCAATGGACTCCTCTTGTTATACCTCGCAGGAGTATTATCATCTTTACACTCGTCCCATTTTTTTATACTTTTTTTTTGTTTGTTTATTCTTCATTCTGTCCGAATCCGAGATATCAGACGAGCGATAGTTTACACGTGCACAAACGTATATAGTTGTGTTCAGACTGACGGATGTAGTATGTATGTATACGTATATATTGAAATTACGTCCGGATGGGCAGTTGCCGAAGCAACAGAGCGGAACGAGTTTTTTTTTCTCAAGGCGAAAATATTCCGAAGAGGTATTTTCTAGCGTGACAATGTCGCGTTATCTATTGTTTCCAATTTAAAAGGCAAAAATATATGTATCGCCGTATTTCATTTAGCCCGTGAGTTGAAATGGCGATACAATTCATAAAAAGAGGAATCGAATGCAATTTATTTTGGTTTTCCATAACGCTTCTTCCTTCGCGATAAAGAGTACGATTCGATTAATCCTGTCGTTCTATCGACGTGTGTATAGGAAAAAAAAAAATATATATATATATGTACAATGGAATGAGATGTTTTAAATAACAACGAAATTAACTACTTTGATTAAGAAAATCTATTGCTTGTATTTTGCTATTTCGTTACACCCCTACCGTACATGTAAAGGAATGCTTTCTTCCTACACTTGAAAGCTTCGATATCCTTTGCGTTTCGTCGATACTTTCGCAACGTAGGAATTGTACGGTTTCCGAGGTCGTCGACCCTCGATGAGTATCTTGTTTACACAGATCAATTAACAGAGGCTCCCTGCGATCGTTACGCGCTGAATTTTTCATACGTGGAGTGAACATGGTCACGAGCACAATGTCGGACGCGACACTGATGAACTGCACCTTGGAAACGGGGAATAATCATACCGGAAGGAACGGTCGTGGATTACCGAAACGATTCGATCTATATACGCTCACGCGCCGTGAAACGTGTTGCATCGCATTACGTAATCGAACCATTGATAATAAGATGCCCGTGAAATAGAGACGTTTCTTCGTACGTAACCTTATCGTGCGCACACGTAACAGTACACATGATTATCCGCATCGATTTTACACGGAAGAAACCATACATCTACTTGTTGATACGCCGCAACGATTTCGAGAATAATTCCTCGGTGACTCCGTTCCCTGGAAAGATTCAGTTTCGCTAACCTAACCTATAAGTTGGAACAGATTCATTATTTCTTTCTTTCTTTCCTTTTTTTTTTTACCACGAAATTACATCGTGACCTGCAGCGCAACGAACTTTCAACGACACGGTAACAAACTAGAAAATTTTTAATCTAATTTTCATGCTAAATATAAAATTTCAGTTAGAACGTGTCTCGCCCACGCGTTTTACGCAACGTGGCTACCGGCCAGACGATCTGTGAAAATTATACCCGTGCAAACAGAGAGGTGACTTGCCGCGAAAAAAACATATAATTCCGTAGGGAAATTACTTCCCCTCGATACTAGTGCTTTCGCGTCGCAATGCTTTTAGGAACTTGTACTCGTGTCAACTATAACATACTAACCTTACATAGCACTAGGTCAAGATTAATTACATTGTAGACGTCACCGTTCATTGTACGATCGTACAGAAAGTTTAGCCCCTGTGAAAGTTTTTTTTTTTTAAACAACGTGTTCCATGAGTTCTATGGTCGACGTGCTTTTATTTTAAAATACGCGAGAGTTTCAAATCGCGAGCATTTATCATGTTTACGAGGAAAAAGAGAGGAAAGGAAGGAAGGAAAAGGGACAGAGTGAGTGAGTGTGAGAGAGAGAGAGAGAGAACTCGTCATTTCTACGTAGCACTAAAGGAAAATACCTTTACATGAGAATCGTCACAGTCAATCAGCGACCTCCAGTGAACAGAGCGGGAACACTGATAGCTTGTCGTTACATCGACTATCCGTGACGTTAAACGACGATACAGGGCGCGTAATGTGATGGAAGTTACGTTTTTTTCGCACGGGTAAAAACAGGGTACAAGTATGAAAAGTAATATATGCAGATATTAAACGTGCATTTAAATATTCGTGAAAGCAAACATCATCGTTCGAATTAAAATTCCAATCGAGAATCCATCAGCTATGATTCACGAAGAGAATTCATTTTGTCGAATAACGACGCAGATTCTTTGGGAACTGCGACGTTTTAAAAATTGAACACGAACCAGCCAGACGCATTTATTGATTCACCTCTCTATCTTCTCTCTAGTATCTACATCCGCGATATCCTCGGTATATCTCGCTTTCGCACGACTACGCGAATTACCTGTTTCGACGAAGATTATCAATACATCAGGAAAGTTATAGACTGTACGGAAACGGTGCATGCTCTCTCTAGTACATAACCATGAAATTAGAACACGAATGTTTTGTCAGTTCCGTATGTTTGACGGATTGAATCAATAATGAAATGCGGTAAATATTTCACGATAACAAGGGAAAGATTATTTTTGAAATGTTTCTGACAAATTATTCGATACACGGGAATTTCCAACCGTTATGGTTGGCATATTATGCACGAACGACTAACGTTTTTCAGCAAAGTAAGCAGTGGCTGTGTGCAACGTTTGCAAGAGCGGTACACGCCTCGGGACTATACGAGACCGCTACTCAAGTTTATACATCGGTGGTGCCATCCATTGACATGTAGTCTCATTACGTATTTCTGCTTGGATAGTTTGCAAGAGTTAGCGTTACCAGCCGTGCAAGCGATGTCTTCAAAGTTTGCGTATAATAGAGTAACGAGATTTCTACATTTAAAACTGCCATTATCTCAAGTATGACCTAGTTCGAAAATGCGACATTACGCACACGTAGGCTTTCAAAATTTTACGCATTGAACTTCTGTTCCTGGTATTTTTTTCTTTTTTTCTTTTCTTTATTTCTTTTCCATTTTTCGCTTTTATTTCACGATCGCTACTCACATGTACGCCTTCAAAGCGCCAACGTAAAACGTACGTACTACCCGCTTAATTGTACACATATATATCTATCTTCTAAAAATTAACACACAGACGAAAATAGAGCTACATTTCTTGCCGGAACTTACTATCCATCGATATCATCTCCATGGTTGTTCAGGCAAAAGTCCAA